AGTGTGTGACAGCAGCAGGCGATCAGTCCGACCGATCAATAACACTCAATCACATGAATCATTAATCACACACACACACACACACACACACACACACACACACACACACACACACACACACACACACACACACACACACACACACACACACACACACACACACACACACACACACACACACACACACACACACACACACACACACACACACACACCACACACACACACACACACACACACACACACACACACACACACACACACACACACACACACACACACACACACACACAGGTTTATATACTTTAAGTACTGCAGCTTATGAGCTCATGACAATAAGAACGAACTACTTCCTCATCTCCTTGAACTTTGACCCTCTTATAAGTACTGTGCAAAGGATTGTGGGTCAGAATGAGGAAAGCATGCTGGCTAACATGCAGCAGGACATCCTGGTATTTTATTTGTATTGTAAGGTTTTATGACACAGCTCCCCTGAGACACAGTAGAGATCCTGTGAGAGCTGCATGATGGTAGAGGTGTGTGTGTACGGCCTTCTCTAACATCAGACCAGACACTTTCCACGCTGCTATGGACAGTCTGCACATTTCTCACAGATATTGAAGTGACTGTTATTTTCTATATATTGATTGTTGTGCTTTTATTTGTGTCTTAATGTGTGCATATGTATAAATGCGTCTGTTGATTGTGTATATATAGGCAGTGGCGGCCGGCCCATAGGGGCGCTAGGGGCGCCGCCCCCCCCTCTTCCCACATTAAAAAAATAAATAAATAAAAAAAATAAAAAAATATATATTTAAAAAATATATTTTTTATTTTTATTTTTATTTTTAATAAACAAGGTAAATATTATATAATTGGTATCAGTAAAATGTATAATCTACAATAAAATCTCGTTTAAAATTGTGTTACGATGTCTAAAGTTACTGATAAGTCACATGTTTCCTGCCTGGCCTTGCCCGTGTATCATTACTCACTCTCGTCTGGGCGCTATGCACAGCGCCCAGACGAGAGTGCAGCAAGTGCAGCAGAAGCCAACTGTTGCTATCTTTAAACTATGCCGCCGAAACATAATTTCAGCCAATCAGCGTCGTCAAATCTGATGGTCACAGGGCTCCTACGTGAGCGCCCGGTGCAGTCTGTGAGTTGTTTGGACTCGTATCCAAGGAGACAAAACAGGAAGCTGTCATACACTCTGGAAGCTACCATTAGCAGCTAATGAAACTCAGTTTTTGACATAAAAATGGAATTATGGATCATCAATCATTTTTCAAAGTGACAGACACATTGGATTAACCTATGGATTAACCTTCAGCTGCGTTTTTCTCGTTTTTGATCAGAATTGTTATTCTGCAAAAGGTGAGCATATCTCCGTGTTTTGCTACCTAAAGCTACGTCGTGTGATGTCTGTATTTGCTTCCCCTGTCGCAAGTTCTGATCGCTCAGTGATGATACTTATATTTCTAGAATCTGTGGAATCTCAGCTTGTTAGCACAGTTTATGCTGTAGAAACTATGTCCAGGACAAGGTGTTTGGAAGTTTTGGAAGATTCATAGCTAACCACACTGAAGTTATGGAGGTATTGATCAGTCTTCTCATATTTTTAAGCCTCAAATTGTCCTTCCCCCCCCCCTCTAACATCACCAGAAGTCATAATTTAGGGGGTCTTTTCTCAAAAAAATGCCCCCTAGTATTGTTTGAACACCATTTCCACAGCCCCACCTAAAATATTTTCCACCAGCCGCCACTGTATATAGGTATTTGGGATTGTGGGAAACGGTATTTCGATCTCTCTGTCTGTTTCCTCACCTGCTGCAGCGTGCCGTCCACCTGAGAGCTGCGGCAGTCTGCACAGCTGAAGAGAGAGCAGTCAGCGTGCACGTGCAGCTCACACACTGCAACACACACACACACACACACACACACACACACACACACACACACACACACACACACACACAGAGAGGCAAAACATTAACGAGATATGAGATATTTGAAAATGAGAAAAATCCTCAAACAATTCGTGAAAAACAGATTTGTCTCATAAAATCAACTTGATAAATTCACTTAATTTTATATAGGGCTTTTATAAATAGAAGGCACTTTACATTAAAACAAATATTGAATTCAAGCAAGTACTTCACTTCTTGCTGGTTTCACTGGTTTCACTGGTTTCACTGGTCATTACGGAGGTCTTACCTTCGCAGCGCAGCGCCGTGTTTCCCTCCGTCTGTTTCCTGCAGACAGAGCAGAAACGCTTCTTCTGACCCGCCGGGCCGAAGCAGTGAGAGACAGGAACCTGTAGGGGCAGCAGAGAGAGAACTGAAGCTAATGCTAACACAACTGAAGCTAATGCTAACACAACACAAGATAATGCTAACACAACACAAGATAACACTAACTCAAAACAAGATAACACACAGCGCAAGATAACACCTAAACGATGGAAGATAAGAGACGCTAACACAATGCAACATAATGTTTACACAACTGAAGCTAATGCTAACACAACTGAAGCTAATGCTTACACAACGCAAGCTAATGCTTACACAACGCAAGCTAATGCTTACACAACTGAAGCTAGTGCTAACACAACTGAAGCTAATGCTTACACAACGCAAGCTAATGCTAACAACATGCTAGATAATGATAACACAACATCCACAAATTAATGAAATAATAGTTAGATTAATCTGTAAATGCATTGATGTTGTCGAGTCAGGATCTGTGTGAAAACTTTATAAGCATAAAAAAGGAAAAATGATTTAAGAAAATGTAAATGTTGAGTGACAGCACCTGGACAGGTGAGGACTATAAATTCCTCTGCTTCATTATGCTGGAACATTCAGTGATCAATTAACTTCATGTCGGGGGCGTTTGTTTTACTCACCTGCACCAGAGACGGGGTCATGCAGGAACAGGCTGAGCGCAGCGTCTTCAGACATTTCTCGTGACACATGAAGTTACACACTGAGGAGGAGAGAGGAAACACTGAGCGAGGGAGAGGACTCTTTAAAGTAGAGACACTACATACTGATATACACCTGAACATCAGCAGGAGAGGACTCTTTAAAGTAGAGACACTACATACTGATATGCACCTGAACATCAGCAGGAGAGGACTCTTTAAAGTAGAGACACTACATACTGATATACACCTGAACATCAGCAGGAGAGGACTCTTTAAAGTAGAGACACTACATACTGATATACACCTGAACATCAGCAGGAGAGGACTCTTTAAAGTAGAGACACTACATACTGATATACACCTGAACATCAGCAGGAGAGGACTCTTTAAAGTAGAGACACTACATATTGATATACACCTGAACATCAGCAGGAGAGGACTCTTTAAAGTAGAGACACTACATACTGATATACACCTGAACATCAGCAGGAGAGGACTCTTTAAAGTAGAGACACTACATACTGATATACACCTGAACATCAGCAGGAGAGGACTCTTTAAAGTAGAGACACTACATACTGATATACACCTGAACATCAGCAGGAGAGGACTCTTTAAAGTGATTTGAAAAATACAATGTTGTTCTCCTGTATATTGTGCATGGAGAGAATGACAATACATTTCCAAAGGAATAATTCCTCACTCTTTGAGACTCTTTTTGTGGACACACGATAAAAAGGACAAACGTTTTTTGTTGTTATATAATCTGAAAGCGTCAGGCAGCCCTTATATAAAGGTCTTTATCTGCAGGTCAGAGGGAACCTAAAAGGCCGCAATAATCCGTCATTATGCAGAAAAATCTGTGCAGCGTGAGGACAGCCGGTCAAAGGGGGGGCGGTGACGCATGTTCATAATGTCATTTAGGATTTAATTTCACTGTGGGACTGCTTTCCTCCTTGTTCACAGCATGTCAGACCTAGAGTCTGATTGGTGCTTACATGTCGTTATATTCCCCCAATAGAAAGAATCAAACTCATACCTAGAGGCGAGATCTTCTGGACGAATAGAAGAGAAAACATAAACTGATGTATTTTAAACAACAATAAAGAAGAATATTTAAACATTTTACATAATATATATTATGCTTGTCGTTTTATTGCTAAGTTCACAGAGATGTAAAGGTATTGTAACTTTTTAAAAGTATTTATAGAAATAATTCCTATTACATTTTTGGGAAATCCATACCTAAGATTTCACCTTAATTAGTTAATTAAAGAATACATGAATAGTAATAATTAAGGAATATATGTATGTGTGTGTTTGTGTGTGTGTGTGATGATGATGATGATGATGATGTCGCTGCCAAACACACATGCAGCTCCTGTTGCCATGCCAACCCAGAGGAAGTAAATCACGACTTGACTGCAACGTGGACAGACAACCAGTCAGTGTTACTGGGCAGAGTGGAGAGTGTGTGTGTGTGTGTGTGTGTGTGTGTGTGTGTGTGTGTGTGTGTGTACGTGTGTGTGTGTGTGTGTGTGTGCGCGTGCATGTGTGTGCGCGCGTGTGTGTGTGTGTGTGCGTGCGTGTGTGTGTGTGTGCGTGTGTGTGTTGGCTGCCTGTTGAATTCATGAAGATGATGCTTTCTTTGAAGAAAACTTAGTAAAGAGGTGTTAAGGAAAGGAGATTAAAGAGTCCTCTCCTGCTGATGTTCAGGTGTATATCAGTATGTAGTGTCTCTACTTTAAAGAGTCCTCTCCTGCTGATGTTCAGGTGTATATCAGTATGTAGTGTCTCTACTTTAAAGAGTCCTCTCTTGCTGATGTTCAGGTGTATATCAGTATGTAGTGTCTCTACTTTAAAGAGTCCTCTCCTGCTGATGTTCAGGTGTATATCAGTATGTAGTGTCTCTACTTTAAAGAGTCCTCTCCTGCTGATGTTCAGGTGAACACTACAGCGAGCAGAACAGAGCCTTTTTAAGAAAAGATAAGTCAAAGGAAGGAAAGTGGAGAATAGAGGACAAAAAGGGTAAAGAGTAAAGAAAAGGAAATTAGAGGAAAGAGGAGACAAAGAAATAACCAAAACAGAAAAAGGAAAGGACACAGGAGGCAAGGAACGACAAGAAGGAAAAGAGAAGGCAAGCGAGAGGAAGAGGAGACGGGAAGAAATACAGGAATCAGAGGAAGAGTTCCCAGCAGTATTTGTAGCAGGTTATTTGATCCTACCTGAGCTTTTAGAAACTCACTTCCAGCTTCACTTTCCTACCAAACGTTCCTTGATAGATTTCAAAAGACGTGAAGCCTAAAGATAATGCTCTTTTAAATTAACACTGTGTTACGACCCTCCTCCTGTGAGTGTGAGTGTGAGTGTGAGTGTGAGTGTGTGTGTGTGTGTGTGTGTGTGCAGGTGGTGCCTGTTAGCTGATTGGTCCACCTGGAGAGACAGGAGCATTTAAGCTGCAGCCACGCAGTTCCTCGGCCCTCTCTCTCATCGACCTCTCCTACTCTGTGTCTGTGGTAGAAAACCTGATCTCTTGTTCTGTGTGGTTCCATCTAACGATTACCGGTCCTTTTGTACTTTTTGGTATCTTTGTAAAGATAAGCTAATTGAATCTGTCTTGAAAGACACGCTTTGCTTGGCCCAGGAGTGCGACACCCGTTTCTTTTGTTCAAATCCTGTTTTCCCGTTAGGTTAGGTAAGAAGCCTGTATTTGAATTTACTTATGTTGTTAGGCAAGATGTATGTATGCCCAGGGTTATTTGTTTATGGGGGTTGTCTCGCCTCCTTTAAAAACAAACAGGTAATTAAAATGACCAAAGGCATTTTTCTGTCTCATTGTCCATTTCTTGGGAGTGGGGAGAGTGAGAAGAGTGAGAAGAGTGAGAAGAGTGAGAAGAGTGAGAAGAGTGAGAAGAGTGAGAAGAGTGAGAAGAGTGGGAAGAGTGAGAAGAGTGGGAAGAGTGGGGAGAGTGGGGAGAGTGCAATTTTGTGCTGCTCCTAGGTTCCCCTAGACCTGGGCGTAACAACTGCAAACGTGTTAATGTGCATGTATATGTGGAGGAAAATGTATAAAATACATGTTGTTTTTTTTGCATACTTGGTTGTTGTTGTTGTTGTCCTGGACTTAATTGGACTTATTTGCCAATATATCTTCCTGTTATTTCTCTATTTGGATTGGTGTAACTACCTCTTACATATTTCATTACTCTATTTGTTGTAAGCTAATATGCACAATATCTAGCATAATAGTCTCCCTCTGGATTAAAAACAAGTGTATCTTACTTTACTGATTAATTAAAGAAATGCAATACTAACTAAATGCTCTTTGCACTCATCAGCAAACCCCTTGTTGCTTTTTAGGGTCACCTGCAGCTGGATATGCACTTATGCAGTGGTGCATGATTTGTTACAGTAATTCATATAAATAATGCACTTTGTGTGTTACCTTCACACAGGAAGCCCACCAGCCCCCAGATGAAGTCGCTGCAGCTGTGGCAGAAGGTGGGCTTTGTGAGGGTGACTTTCCGGAGGCAGTGTCCTCCAGGATCCGGGATCTGGTGCTTGTTCCGGGGAACAGGGGACTGCTGAGCCCGCTTCTTCCCGGCCAGAGGGCTCGATGTCCGGCTGTCAGTGGCCTCAGGGTTTGCCGGTCTGCAGTCCGCCATGTCCTCCTCAACACACCGATAACAGTGCAACAACACGGGGTGTGTCTTAGCTTAAAGTGGAGCAGAAAACTCCTGGAGCTCTAAAAAATATATATTCCACCCCCAGCAGCGAGACATCACACCCGGCGACCGAGCTGCTTTCTCGGCGTGAGTCCTGGAGCTCCCCCCGGTCCTCAGAAGATAATTATCCAAGGTCCACAAATACAGAGTAGGCGTGTCACGACTTTGTGATCCAACAACAACGCAGACTGCTGTAAAACGGGATTTCTAGAAGAGTCACCCGGCTTGGAGACAGCGGTACCACCCAGTGGTTCTAACCGCCGGAGAGGGCGCTTAAGTCGGCGTGTTTATCAGACCCTCCCGCCTCTCTGGTTCCCCAAAATATCAAACCCCTGAAATATTAATCGTCCATCCACCTTGTTAAAAGCACAGCATGTATTCCAGGGAAGGTAGTGCTCGGCTACTCGGTTTAAAAGCCTTTTTTAGTCTTCTGACTATGGAGATATCTCCCTCCACGCCGCGAATAGAGACCCAAAGCCCGCGGACAGATCTCCCAGCTCCGTGTGGTTCCAGGAGCTTTTCCCTTTGCTCGGGAAGCCGAATGAATAAAAGATGACAAATATCGACCCAGTGGAGCTGGATGCAGGGTGAAGTGTCTTTGAAATGATTATTTCAGTCAAAGCACGCAGCCATGCAGGCAGCCCTGCACGTCCGGATCCGGAAAAGAGGCACTGCAGGCCGGGGAGGAAACGGTGAAAAAGCTGCTTCTGCGAGTCTGGAAGGTAAACGTTATTCAACAAGTGTGAAGAGGGGGGCTTTCATTTTGGGGTTTCCTTCGTCTTCTTCTTCTTCTTCTTCTTCTTCTTCTTCTTCCTCCTCTGCTTCTCCTTCCGCGTCAGTCTCCAACACTGATTTACTCCTCCCTCCTCTCCTCGCCTCCTCGCCTCCTTTCCTTGTTCCCTTCATCCCTTCCTTTTCCTTTCCTCCATCACTCAGGAGCCTCTGCATCTTTAAATTAAAATGAATGATTCCTAAAATAAAATACTATATTTGATTCTGTCACCTTTCCTTCCTCTTCCTGTTTCTTCACTTCCTCTTTCTGTTTACACACCGCCTCCTTCCTCAAATGCAAATACAAAAACTGCATCACAGTTTTCTGCAAATCATAATAAAGAGACATGTGCAAATGTTTCTTCTTTCTTAAGACAAAAAAAGCATGCTTTGTATAAAATAATGTCTTCATTTTTCATTTGAATATGTGTGCATATAGGGTGGGGATATCTAATTATTGGTCCATCCTATAATATGTGGGATCTTAGCTATTCTATATATATTTTACAACTCAAATCTATATATAGAATGGACAGCATGCCTTCAGAAAATACCAGAATATTACAAAAAAACATTAAATTAGGTTCACTTCATTGTGAAAATGTGTCTTTGTTTAACAGCAATGTGAAATATGTTCAAAAGTGTATTTATTTGTTGATTAATTTACAAAAAGTGACCCATAATTACCTGAAAATAGGAGTTGGAGCTCAGATAATAAATACATTTCTACACCTTGAGTATCTACACTCATTAATGTGTAAATTAAGACCAAAATGTGTTATTATTGTGAGGTTTTTCGTTTAAAGGCAAATATTGACCCTTAAATCTCTGTATTTCTGTCTGTGTTTTGGACCCTGAGAGTTGAGCTTACTTCCATCTCTAACCCCGTTTCGTATAATTATGAAAAAACTTACATTGAGGGATTTTTTTTCTGGATATCTGAAGGAACAGCTGCAGGCAGAGTAGACGCTGTGAGAAACACAAACTGTGGACATCATGACGTTTGAGATAAGATCATATATTAATCATATTGATCGACAGAGAGGGAATACAGTTGTTGCAACACCACAGACATGCACATAAGTACAGATAAAATAGATAAAACAATCAACGAATAACAGGGTATGGAAGCCCAGAGGGGACATTTTAATTAATGTAATCGTGCAATTTTCCAGATATGTATAAGTTATTTTAGTAAAACTTAAAATGCAATAACGAAGTTGGACACTTTTCACGCTTTAATGTCTGCTGATAAACGCCTTTCCTTCTTCTCTGTGAATAACCAGGTTATTAATAGACACCTTATCTCACACAGAAGGACTTTACACACACAGAAAGCACATGACAGAAATGTAACATGAGATAAAATAAATAAAAAATAAATTGCTCTTATTGTCATTTCACAGTACAGGTATTATGTAACGAAATTGATCCTCTGCATTTGACCCATCCTAGTGTTAGGAGCAGTGTGCTGCCGTGGACGGCGCCCGGGGAGCAGTGTAGGGAGCGGTGCCTTGCTCAGGGACACCTCGGTAGCACTTGGTCTTGCCGGGACTCGAACTGGTGACCTTCCAGTTGCCAAGCCAAGTCCCTATGGACTTCACCACCACCGCCCAAATACAAACTAGTTCAAGAACTTAAAGTTTAAATCCAAATGAATCTAACGATCTGTAAAATCCTAAAAGGTCTGATATTATTCTGCAGCTGTTGGCAAAAGAGTTTAGAGCGAAACAAAGTTTAAAGTGAATCACGATAATGAACAGAAGGAAGTGAAAATAGGGAACAATGCAGAGTAACATGTCAAAGATATAAGCAACAGTTTATTGCCTCAGCTTCAGGTTGCCTTTACGGATATGACATAAAACATGTGGTGAAGTATAAGTACATTTAATACAACAACCGCTGTCTCACGGAGAGATACCGCAGGTCCTTCCTTCCTGCAGCGTCAGACATACAGCCAGCACAGCCCCCCCCCACACACACACACACACACACACACACACACACACACACACACACACACACACCACACACTATATCACCCCTTGCTGCTAAATACCAACAAACTATGTGCAATATGTGCAATATATAAGTGCCGTTAATAACTGTGTAATATATACCTGGCTGCTAAATCCGTAGAACTGTTACAAGGTGTGTATTTTTAAATGATGTAACTTTTTATTTTTTATTATATATATTTGTTATTATATCATAACTTAGTACTTTTTAATGCATGTCATTTAACATATGTAACATGAAGCTGTCTGTGGCTCTTTTTCCTGCTGTAACTGCACATGTCCCCTCCGTGGGACTAATAAAGGGATTCTGATTCTGATTCTGATTCTGATTCTGATTCTGATAAAACATATCATATATATTATTCTGAAATGGACCAATCTGCACAATGACTACTTTTACTATATTTGATGATAATACTTTAATACTTTTACTTTAGTAACATTTTGAATGCAGGACTTTTACTGTAACAGAGTATTCCTACACTCTGGTACTTCTACTTTTACTCAAGTACAAGATCTGAGTACTTCTACTTAAAGGTGGGGTAGGTAATTTTGGAGAAACCAGCTCGATTGCGCTAGAATTTGAAAATACACAACTGGAGAAAATCTGCCACTTCCTTACAGAGCCCCTCCTCCAACACACACGAACGCGCACATGACCAATGAGGGCACGAGATAAGTTTGTGCACAGATGGAAGGCTGACAGGCAGGTAGGCCATCCAGTTATTTTAGCCGGGCCGGCTAAAATGATTGGTCGTGCTTTTTACAGTACTACGGCTTCCACAGATGACATTTCTTTATGGATTTTTTGTCAAAGCACTTCAGATATTCATTGCTATCGGGATGTTAAGAGCATTCCATGGAATATAACAAAAAGTGTATCTCGAGCCGGTTTCTCAAACTTACCTACCCCACCTTTAAGATCTGAGTACTTCTACTTTTACTACAAGATCTGAGTACTTCTACTTTTACTACAAGATCTGAGTACTTCTACTTTTACTACAAGATCTGAGTACTTCTACTTTTACTACAAGATCTGAGTACTTCTACTTTTACTAGAAGATCTGAGTACTTCTACTTTTACTCAAGCACAAGATCTGAGTACTTCTACTTTTACTACAAGATCTGAGTACTTATTAGTAGAGTTTTTCTCAGAGATTTATTTCATTATAACTTTTGTTATTATAATAAATAACGGTGTTGTTGTGCAGAGCTGAACCTGCTGCAGATGGCCACTAGGTGTCAGTGTTGGACAGGAAACTGCTGCGCTGCCTCTGAGCAAGGCAGCAACAACCTCAGAATCAGAATCAGAAACAGGTTTATTGCCAGGTAGGTTCACACATACGAGGAATTTGACTTGGTGTCATGGTGCAGACATAAAATATAAAACAAGAAATCTTTAAGGACACCGTAATAAAATATAGTTAAATAGCAATAAAATAAAGCAATAATTTACATGGAAATAGAGTGCTATGAATGATTATAGGAAATATGAAATATGAAATAAGAAATAAGAAATATGGGCAGTAAGCAGTATGAACATTGTGTGCATTAATAGAGAAACACATTTAATATGTAAACTATTAACTCTAATCTGAGGTTTTTAAATGTTTTTTTATTAAAGTTAAATTAAAGGCTTTAACATGTTTTTTAAACCAATTAAAAAACATGCAATTTATCGACAAAAAGTATTAAGAATAACAAAATAGATAAGAACAACATTTATTAATGGAAATACTAAAGTCACAGTTGTGTATTTAAAAGTAGAAATAATAATGAAGACAACAGTTGATCAATAAAATCAAAATACAAATGTGAGTTAAAACCAATAAAATGAGTAAGAATGAAAAGACACGTTAAGAGCGACCAAAAAGGAATAAAGGAAATAACTAATATAATTATTTAATTAAACACTGCATTAACATTCATATATATCCTCACCCTGACCACCAGGTGGCGCTGCAGGCTGCGTTCAACATTACATTACATCACATTACATCACATGTCATTTGTTAGACGCTTTTATCCAAAGGGACTTACATACATTCAGTACAGTGGGCAATCCCCACAGGAGCACTTTGAGGTGAAGTGTCTCAGGGACACAATGTCTAATGTGGGACACTTTGGCTCTAAGCCTAATGTGGGACACTTTGGCTCTAAGCCTAATGTGGGACACTTTGGCTCTAAGCCTAATGTGGGACACTTTGGCTCTAAGCCTAATGTGGGACACTTTCGCTCTAAGCCTAATGTGGGACAATTGTGTGTCCCAGACTGTCCCACATTAGGGAGTGCCCCAGACTGTCCCACATTAGAGACTGTCCCACATTAGAGACTGTCCCACATTAGGGAGTGTCCCAGACTGTCCCACATTAGGGAGTGCCCCAGACTGTCCCACATTAGAGACTGTCCCACATTAGAGACTGTCCCACATTAGGGAGTGTCCCAGACTGTCCCACATTAGGGACTGTCCCACATTAGGGACTGTCTCACATTAGGGACTGTGCCACATTAGGGACTGTCTCACATTAGGGAGTGTCCCAGACTGTCCCACATTAGGGAGTGTCCCAGACTGTCCCACATTAGGAAGTGTCCCAGACTGTCCCACATTAGGGAGTGTCCCAGACTGTCCCACATTAGGGAGTGTCCCAGACTGTCCCACATTAGGAAGTGTCCCAGACTGTCCCACATTAGGGAGTGTCCCAGACTGTCCCACATTAGGGAGTGTCCCAGACTGTCCCACATTAGGAAGTGTCCCAGATTGTCCCACATTAGGGACTGTCTCACATTAGGGAGTGTCCCAGACTGTCCCACATTAGGGAGTGTCCTAGACTGTCCCACATTAGGGAGTGTCCCAGACTGTCCCACATTAAGAAGTGTCCCAGACTGTCCCACATTAGGGAGTGTCCTAGACTGTCCCACATTAGGGAGTGTCCCAGACTGTCCCACATTAGGAAGTGTCCCAGACTGTCCCACATTAGGGAGTGTCCCAGACTGTCCCACATTAGGGAGTGTCCCAGACTGTCCCACATTAGGAAGTGTCCCAGACTGTCCCACATTAGGGAGTGTCCCACATTAGGGAGTGTCCCAGACAGTCCCACATTAGGGAGTGTCCCACATTAGGGAGTCTCCCAGACTGTCCCACATTAGGGAGTGTCCCAGACTGTCCCACATTAGGGAGTGTCCCAGACTGTCCTACATTAGGCCAACTCACCCTGGGGACGGTACTGGGCTTAGTTTCTGCACTGGAAGTCAAAAAGCTACCGTAAGCATGTGCATGTATTTATATATGTCTAAAGCAGAAGTGTATTTTTAAATCTGTAGAAGGGTCCCAGCACTTCTCTGACAAAGTGACGCCACGTTTTCTTTGTTAATAAATAATGTTATTTACACTGCAGCACACTCCAAGAGAGACGAGAAACAAGTTCAAACTGCGCTCCTGATTTCAGTGTGGAAAATAACAACCAATAAAACACAGAGATGTACTGGACAATCTATATTCCATCCTGATGCATGCTGGGAGATTAAAGGATGGGTCAGATCAATGGGATAAAGAGGTTTGTTTTTACCTCCAGAGACCCCCAGCATCTGGGTAAAAGACGGGGGTCTCTGGTCTTACTGTTAGCTAACCTTCTGCAGGTTGATTAGCATGAGGAGCAGCAACACATGTAATACACAGTATCATATATTGTCTTATCCTATATGCATTACTGTATATGGTATTAAAACACAAAAGTTGAAGATGCAATACTTTGATATTTAAAAATAAGTATGTTTATTTTTTTTATGTTTTTTTAAATGTATTTTATTGGAATTGTTTGTTGTTTTTGTTCCCATTCATTTTTGAAGTTTTTTATGTATTTGCTTCCTCATGTGAAGCTCTCTCTCTCTCTCTCTCTCTCTCTCTCTCTCTCTCTCTCTCTCTCTCTCTCTCTCCTCTACAGGGATCTCTCTCCTCTCTCTCTCTCTCCTCTCTCTCTCTCATCTCCTCTCTCTCTCCATCCCTCCCTCTCTCTAATCATCTCGTCTCTCTCTCTCTCTCCTGCTCCTCTCGTCTCCGCCCCCCTCTCTCTCTCTGTCTCCCCTCTCTCTCTCTCCTCAGTCTCGCTGCTGCTGCTCAGACAGCAACAAGCACCGCCTGCCTCTCTCTGTCTACCTGTCTGTCTCTCTCTCTCGCTCTCTCTCTCTCTGTCTACCTGCAGCCCCCACCCCCTCCATCCCTCCCTGTCTCGGCCCCCCCCCTCTCTCGGTGCGGACATGCTCCTCCGGAGATGAGGCTCCGAAATGTCTCCTTCCTGACGGTCTTGTTGTTCGGGCTGTGCGGGCTGGTCTCCCTGTCCTGGTACACCGCCTTCAGCAGCTCCAGAGGTAAGCACCGCCCCGGCGTGCTGCCCCGGTGGGTGTGTGTCTGTGTGTGTGTGTCTGTGTGTGTCCCCGCTTTGTGTCTCTGGATGTTGCATTAAGAAGATGTGAGGCTGCAGGATGTGTGGAGGTGAATAGGAGCGCTTGATTTATGATGCACCACATGCCAGATATAAGGGGAGAGGGTCTCTACATGGAGGAGGTGATGGAGGATTTGTTGCAGATAAAAACACACAAGATGCATGAGAAGCTCCAGCAGAGAGGAAGGGTCTACATGGAGGAGCGCTTGATTTGTGATGCATTACATACAAGCTAAAAGAAGGGGTCTTAGACAGAGGGTTGGTTTGGTTTTGTTTAATTTAAAATGTTGCTGAAAACACAAAACCATACAGTGTGTGTGTGTGAAGCTCAAACTCCAGAGGTGATGAAGGGAGCGCTTGATTTGTGAAGCATCACAGCTAAGAGGAGAGGGCCAGGAGATGAAGAAGAAGAGAGGAGGGGTTAGTTTGATTTCATTTCAGCTACACAAATGCTCCTGTGCACCTGGAGGGGAAAACACAAGATGCATGTGGAGCTCCAGCAGGGAGGTGATTAAAGGTGCTCTTGATTTGTGATGCATTGCATACCTGGTTAAAGAAGGGGTTGGTTTGATTTTGTTTTATTTAAAATGTTGCTGAAATCACAATAAAGCACAAGTGTGTGTCTGAAGCTCAAACTCCAGAGGTGACGAACAGGAGCGCTTGATTTGTGATGCACCATGCCAGCTATAAGAGGAGAGGGTCTACATGGAGGAGAGAGAAGAGGGGTTTGATTATTTTGAAGATGCTGCTGGGGATGTGAGATAGGGGCGCTTGATTTGTGGTGCATCACATGCCAGCTATAAGAGGAGAGGGTCTACATGGAGGAGGTGATGGAGAGGATTTTGTTTCAGAGAAAACACTTCAGTGCATGAAGAGGGGAGATCCAGCAGTGAGGTAGTAAAAGGAGCACTTGATTTGTGATGCTGCTGAGAGGAAAGGGGCCTAGCTGGAGAAGGTGTGAGGAGGGGTTAGTTTGAGCTACATAAATGCTACTCTGCACCTGAAAGAGAAGCTTGCTTTTGTGCAGAGAAAAACACAAAGTGCATGTGAAGCTCCAGCATTCAGTTAATCAAAGGAGCGCTTGATTTGTGATGCATTACCTACAAGCTGAAAGAAGGGGTCCAGACAGAGGGGTGGGTGACTGGGTGTGATTTAGTTTGATGTAAAGTGTTTCTGTAAAAACAAAAACCACAAGATGCTAAAGTGCATGTGAAGCTCCAGCAGTGAGGAAGTGCAGGGAGCGCTTGTTTTGTGTTGGTCTAACATGCCAGGTGATGGGAGAGATGGAGAAAGGGCAGAGAGGTGGGGTTAGCTGGATGCTCTTGTTCTGTAGGAAGGTGTAGTTCTGGGTCATGATGTAAGCAAGGGAGCGCTTGGTTTGTGATGCAAGTTGTACGAGAAAGAGATAGCAATTGTGTAAGTTAGGGGGGGGGGTTGTTTTGCATTAACCTCAGATTGATTATTGCAGGGTCACAACTAAGGGAGCGCTTGTTTTGTGGTGCCTTAGTGCCTAACGGTCTTGTAGATTGGATGGAGGTTTGTTGTCTCTTGATTTATAAAAAGATAAAAAGATGTGGAAGAAAGTTTTGAAAGTCAGGAGTGACAGCTCTGAGGTGAAGGGAGCGCTTGGTTTGTGATGCATGACATGCCAGAGGAGAGGGGTTGGTGGTGATCGATGGAAGCAGACAGGGGGAGTTAGTTGTTGCAGCTTCTTTGTGCAGGGGTGGAGTTAAAGCATCCTTAGCTGCTACAGAGAGGAGCGCTTGATTTATAATTCTGAGAGATAAAAGGAAACGTTTACATTTTCGTGTGGAGCTTAACACACAGGTGGATTCTGCACCAGGAGGAGAGGGGCGCTTGATTTACAATCCTGGCAGCGAGGCCTTTGTGTGTTTCTGTTTATGATGAAACAAGTTGTGTGTGTTTACACTCAGGAGCAGGTGTATGGGAGCGCTTGATTTAGGACTCCTTACTCGCCTGAGGTGGAGATAGTGGGTTGGGGAGAGCACATTTATCTTGCTGCTGCACGAAGCCAAAGAAAGAAAGAAAGAAAGAAGGAAAGAAGGAGCGCTTGGTTTGTGATCCATCACAGCAGGGGAGCTGTGCAGCTGTTGGGAAGCAGATGCTGTCTGGCTTCAGTCTGTGTGTGTGGGGTGGAGACTAACTTCTCAGGAACAAGAGAGGGGGGGGTGCTCGGTTCGTGACGCCAGTCGATGAGACAGGTGGAGTTTAGGGGGAAATGTTTTGTGGTTTGCAAAAAAGTTCAGCTGAGAGATGCAAAAGATCTGGAGGCTCAGCAGCTTTGTGAAGGGAGCGCTTGTTTTAAACACAGAGTGTCATTGATAACATTCATCCTACAATCTCTATGCAAACTTTACTCCTGTTAAAACGTAACTATATGAATCCTGAACTCCAGGGAGCTCAAACTGAACCTTTCTTTTCAACATGTTCCACATTCTCTACATTTCATCATCCTTTCTGCTTCCATCCTCATTTTGGAATTCAAACAAATCAAACTTCTCTAGACGGATGGAAACACTGCAAATGATAGTTACTGCAATCATTGTCTGTATTTCTTTTGACTCCTTTGTTTACAAATAGTGACATCACTATGTAACGTGAGATCTGCCCGCTGCATGGACTCAGTTGATCTCATGCAGGAAGTGTTTCCTCTGATAATCCTCCGCAGATTATTTTATGATTTAGATCAGAAGATCGTTCCACTCCGTGTATTCTGTAAAACACCTGAAACTCATGAAGCCTGATTTCTGCTTTCTGTTACATAATACTTATAATATTCATACTTGTAGTTATATATTGTGTTTTTACAAGTACGTAAAAGACGTTAATAAACCAAACACAACCCATCGCTTCCTGTTTTATTCCATCGCTTCCTTCTTTCTCAGACAAGATTTAAAGGGCCCATGTCATGCTTTTCTGGTTATTACCCGTCCCCTTGTGTGTTAGGAAGCTTCTGCATGTAAACGGTCTGCAGAGTCACAAACCCTCAAAGTACACCCTGTAAAACTCTAACACAGAAAAGACCTGTCTATGCTGCCCCAGAACGCCTCGTTGGACATTTCTATTTTTCCATTGTTTGCTTCCTGGATTCTGTGACGTGTGAACACCCAAATCAACAACAAATGACCGGATTGGCTCAAATGGACCAATCCGCGGAGCACCTCACACACCAGGATCCCTTGGCTAACTAACAGGGAGTCCCCATTGACTTGCATAGAGCTCCCTGAACGCTGGTAATAGACGAGTTGGGATGGTGGAGAAATGCTCTCCGGAGACCCATTCTCACAGCGTTATAAACCTTTTTCTTTCTCAATATCAAGCCACACTTATTGTTTTTACTTCGGCTGTGAGTGTTTGTGTGTGCTCAGGATGAGTTTCGCTTGTTCTCGCTGTATCGCCAACCCGGAAATCTGTCCGCTCCTCGCAGCAACGAGCCTCGCAACGTCCCGACAAATCAGAGCACACTGGGCTCACAGGGAGGGGGGGGCAGGAGCTCCAACAAGCCGTTTAGGACAGAGAGTGAATACACATACTATACAGAGATGCTGTATGAGAAACCAATGTGAGTTTGGAACATTGAACAATGTCAATCTATTT